TGTTACACCCCATTCATTTATAGTCAAGTCAAGAAATTATTTAGTCAAAGTCAAATGTTCAAGTAGTCGAAGTCAAAGTCAACTCGGGACTTAAATGGAATAAATCATTCTATGGTGGGGTATTTTGTAATGGGCAATAATTGAGGATTTAAGATAGATTAATTTAAAGTTGGGGATGTACTTACCTATCATTGGAAGTTTATTACCAAGTGTTATATTATTGGAAGATGGGGGACTTTCTTTGCAAATGTGTGGTGGTGGAGTACAAGTGTCACCTTCTTAAAACCCACTTCTCATTTCTCATTTTACAGCTATACAGAAACTTCACCGGCAGAGAAGGAATGGATATAGATACCAAATCCAATTTATCCTAATCTAGTTATATGCCACCCAATTACAAACACATAAATTGCGCACACATACAGAGGAGGCTAAAGACAGAGAGAAGAACCGAGAGAAAGAGAAGAGAGAAAGAAGGGAGGAGGAAGAAGAAGAGTAGAAACGCGAAGCTCGAACCGGTTTGCTCAAATTTAATTTCTAGTTGGTTGTAATATAAGGTAAGATAGGAAATCTTTGTATCGTGAATAATAAATCTACCTATGCGTTCTTCACAGTTGGTATTGGCAAGTTAATTTCTAATATCATAGTATGGATTGTGTAAGTAAATAGGGGGGTTATAAGTGGTATTAAAAGTTTACGAATCTAGTTTCTATTTTCAATACTCACTTAGGGTATGCAATAAATTAATTAGAAGTAGAGGTAGTTAGACGGATATGCTATGGAATTAAACTTGCTGAAGAAATTATGTTAATTTTCTAGGTTTGAGCTTTCTAGCTGAAAATTCAACAAGCAGTTAGGATATTGAAAGTAAAAAAAAAAAAGGGACCGAAAATTCAATAGAGGAATTATGTCAGTTGGGGATGGGTTTGATGTATGTATATATACAATGGATGAAGTTAATAAATTGAGACTTAACTAATTTGATAGCTTTATGCTAGTCTGGGAAGTAGTATGCTGATGTAAGGGAAGGCATGAAAATGGATTAAATAGAACCATTAGTACACGTATGTAATTCAACCTAAATTTACTAATTTGGTAACTACTCTATTTAATTTATCCCTTTATCCTTACAATTGAAAAGTAACGGGGAAATAGATATAATATTGTTACTTCATAGGTGCAGCGTACATGTAATCACTATAATTTAGATGCAAATCAACGAGATAGTAATATAAGGATTGAAATTGAAAGAGGTAGCCGATTCTAATTTGTTAGAGGAGAGAGTGCAATGGATTAGCAAATTGTCACTAGTGGCGATTGGTTGGTAAATAATCAAAGAGAGGAAAAGTAAGAAAAATAGAAATGCAGGAATAAATCTAGAAGCAGAGAAATTAAGTGTTGGATTTGTATTAATTTAATTGTCAGCTTTTAATTGAGTAATTATACAGTTTTGCAGGTAGTGACGTGAAAGCGTGGAAATGCTCGTCTATATAGTCAAACTGTTATCCATAGTTTGTGAGTGGGAAAAACTTACATATTTTTCAAGTATTGATAATTAATTATATTATTATACATTTTATGCAATTAAGTGAATTATTTGTTCAATTACATTATTAAAGTGGAAATATTCCTTCATTATGATCGGTGTGGAATTTTAAAGATTGTGTATGGATTATTTGTAAATTGAAATGTGAGACATATGTGATATTGAGATCGACCAGAAAAGTACCCATGATTATATACTTATTCTAGTTCACGGAGTGGGCCTTGGCCGTGTTCTATACTACACGAGGGGTTTTGACTGAGGATGAAGGGGTCTGACCGTGTACATGTAGTTCACAGAGTGGCCTTGGCTGTGTTCTAGTATTGATTATGAGAGGTCTTTGAGACCCACTTTCAGTCACGGAGAGGCCTACGGGCCGTGGCGAAAGTAGTTAGCCCGAGGGGCGGATTATCGATTTCAATCAGAGGGTACATTTTTGGTTGATTACATGTGATGAGATGAGATGATGATATGGATTTGAGTTGATGATTATATCATGATTATGAGATGACGTTTTTCAGTGTTATGAGATGTCTCACTTTTTGATTATCATTATTGTTGTATGCTATTATACTATGGACTTGGTGATGATAAAAATGTGTAAATCGAAAGTATAATTATTCTAGAAATTTTCACGCACTGGGCTATTAGCTCATATTTTTCTCCATAATTTTCCTTACAGGTGGTATTGGTTCTTGATAGCTTGAGGAGCCTGATGATTTCAGAGTTATAGCCACACGACATGGTGCATTTTTGGTAGAGCACAAAATATTTATTTTGGGCCCATTACACTATATTTTTCATAAACATGTGATACGTGATATTTTGTAGTAACCCATAGTCAGCCTTGGTGGTGGATCTGACATCTAGTCAGCATCTACCATCGGCGCACGTCACGTTTTGGGTCCACTAGGGTGATTCGGGACGGGTCGTGTCATCAAGGGTTTGGCCGGTCCGTCCGTCTTGACACCTCTAAATAACCTCGTGAACATCACCAGGGGAAGGCCTTCCATCTTTATCTTCAAAATGTGTTACACCAGTTAAGAGCTTATCCTCTAGCTCTGAAGGAATAGACTTGTCCTTTATATTTCCTTTGGCAAGATCAATGAGAAACTCAGCCGCATTCATGGAAATAAGGGGAGTGCAGCCACTGGAAGAGAAATATACTATTGCTTCTCAGGCTTTTCCAAAGTACAACGAACATCCTTTACTCGAGAATTAACTTGTCAAACCTGCTAAATAATCTAATTGATGGCTGACGTATTATAGTCAACACTGTCTTCCCAATGATGAGTGTAATTAACTCATAAAACAAGTACCTTTAAATTTTAGTTTTTGATTTGTTATTGAGCACTTTTGAGCGTTTTGATGTGTGTGTTCACGTCTTTTTGTAGTTAGACAACTTGGATGAAAATGGAGTGGTTTGGAGTTTGGAATGGAGCTAAGATGATGATCATGGAAGGAGGCATGGATTGGAGATGAGGGAAGAGAAGAATGAAGTGGCAAAGAGGCCAAAAGATGAGCAAACTAAATGAAGAAGAAAAGCAACCAAAAGAGGAAGCAGAAGTGTGGCGACCTAGTGTGAATACCAAAAACTTGTCACACATTTTATACAACATGAAATTACCACAAGTGTACGGTGTCAAGTTTTGTAATATAGTGATGAAATGGAAAATGTCGAACCCACAGGGATTGATACTTGATTTCTACTGAGTGCTATAATTGTTTAGTTTTCACTTTATTTAGACAATCAAAATTGAATCAATATTGTGATTTTAATCTAACGTAAATGGAATAAAAATGGCAAGTGAACAGAAGCAAATTATCAAGAAGTTATCAAATTATAAAAGCTTAGGGAATGATTTCATCGCACTATCAACAATATTTTTCAATCTATAACGTTGATTCAATCAAAATTTTCTCAATTTATAGGCAAGAACCTTAAATTAATTATATTTCCCCTCTCGAGTGCCAAATAGAACCTTATCTATATAATTTAATTCCAATATCTCTATTCTACATTAAATGTATGGAAATTATCGATGCACGTGATTCTTAATTCAAATAAGCCTCAAAGATTCTTACTTTCCCTCGAAATCTACGAAACCTAGGTTATGTTGTTCTTAGATCGCACATAAATTCCCCTCTCTCAAGTGCAGAAATTTACGCATCAATTCCTTTAACTAGTGGCCAATTAATTGAAAGCATTACACACAAACAACACAAATAAATTAATGGAAAATCCAAAAGAACTAAATATATAGGAATCAAAACACATCTCAAGTCGATTACATCAAACCCTAGAAGTGAAGATTTAGTTCATAATTGAGATAATTGACATCATCTAATTAAACATAAATAACACGGATAAGAAGAAAGGAATTAGAATAACTAATTTTGCCACTTGCTTTCTTCCCCCAATTGTGTCACTCGTCCCTTCCTCATTTGATTTCTTCAATATTCGTCTTAAGCTAGCCCTTGCTTCCTTCTAGCCGTCCCAAAAAAAGTCCTTTTTTAGGTCTTCAAATGTGTATCTATAGTTCCCCAAAGTTGCAAGTCAAATTGGAGGTGGACGAGGCCGAAAATCTTTGGAAATTTCCTTTTTTTCCTTACCCGGGAAGCGACGCCACGACTTTTTTCTTTAGCTGGAGCTCAGTTCTGCTGGTCTTCACGAGGCGCCAGCAATTCTGCTGGTCTTCACTCTCTTCTGCTTCCTCTTCTAGTTACTTTTCTTCTTCACTTAGTTTGCTCAACTTTTGGCCTCTTTTTCACTTCATTCTTCTCTTCCCTCGTCTCCAATCCATGCCTCCTTCCATGATCATCATCTTAGCTCCATTCCAAGCTCCAAACCACTCCATTTTCATCCAAGTTGTCTAACTACAAAACAACACGAACAACACTTGTTTAATGAGTTAATTACACTCATCACCCAGCCTAGAGCAAAGGATTAAACTTTAAAGTTACATTCCAATGAATTATGAAAAGGATAATGGTTTATGAATAAATATGAAGGGAAATATGCTACACTACATTATCAAACTATAAGAGAAATGATATCAGAGAATCAAGAAAACGTCACCAAGATTATTTTGAACATATTTCCATATACTTAACAAGTTCATCCACAGAACTTTCCATTTATGTTAAATCAGGTTCAGACAATTAGTATACCTGAGCAATGTTGTGGAGCATCTGAATTATATGGAGGGCTGCTGTTGAATCAAGACCAGATGTTGTTATCCAATACATGAACTTGAATTTACTAAACAAGCCACAAATATTTAATTTGGCACAGTAGAAAATTTCATATGATCTGTAAGTTATCTTTGTGAAGTAACTCAAGAAAAAAAAATTAACCTCGAGAAAAATGGGAAATGAACCAATTTCTTTTTGGCAGCATGAATCAGGATCCTCCTCCTCATTAATTGGTGAAAATTGATCTGATATTCTGTCTTCTGGTTACAAATATTAAGTGTTAGTTATCCTAGTGAATATCACAAGTTCAAGTTTGTTCTGCTATAAGGTAGATATACAGTAAATGAAAAGTTCCAAGGAAAGGGAAAAAGGGCTTAAATTTGTACATTATCCTGTCCAATACTATGAAAAAAACATGTGTAACCTAGTTTGGAATATTTTGGTCTCGTGATCTCAGATGACCATTCAGAAGGCCATGAGGAATCATTTATTGAGAGGAAGCTTATTTTTTCGTTCCCGTGAAACAGACTTAGAGACAAGTCCGTTTCATCAAAGCCACCATTTACGCTATTCACCTGTTCCTCAATATAACCAAAAAATGATTGCTTAATGACTTTGTTTTGCGCATAATTTTCCTTGGGAATTCCTTCTTTAGATCAAAGCTTCGTTGCTTTAGTAAACTTTTCGCTGCCTTGATATTATCCTCTTCTTCTCTTAATAGAAAACATTTCTCAGAATATTCTAGTGAAAACTTTTGGAGTTTTTTGAAACTAAAAGTCTTCATCAATCTTGGCAAATTGCTCGGAGAATTCGAGTTCTTCTTTTCTCTCCATTAGTCCTGGTTGATACCTTGACTCCGTCGACTGCATTATGCATACGAAGTTGATAACAAATTGTCAAGAGTTAAAAAAAAAAAAAGAGAGAGGGAGTACCTCCCTCTATGCAGATGGTATGACTTCTATTAATCCAAAAAATAGTTTAAGAACAAAAAATATTAAAAGAATTCAGAACTATGAAATTAAGCAACATGCATTTGTGTTATTAAGATTAAAGGTGAAAGTCTATTGAAAGTGATGTTTTAATTAGAATAGAAAATTTTTACTATGCTTGGGATTACAATTAATACCCAAGCATAGTACAAACTCAAAGAATGTTGGCCTTAGACAAGCATTTGATGATAAAAATAACTAATTGTAATAAGAACTGCGTTGGCATTTTTAGATTAACTCGGTAAAGAGAATTGAGTATGAATGAATAATAATAAGAACTGCGTTGGCATTTTTTGATTAACACGGTAAAGAGAATTGAGTATGAATGAATAAATTCTTTATTCTGGAGTAAAAACGATGAACTGTTCTTCTCACATTTACATAGTATTGGAGTGCATTTAAATACAGAAAATACAGACTCTATTCTAGGAAACTAGCTAAGAAAGGTGAATATTAAAATGCTGTAATTTATTGACTGATTTATTGTCCTGTGCGTGATTTGTGCGATCTTCTGCTGATTTATTTTCCTTTGCTTGATTTGTGGGATCTTCCCTTATACGCCCCCGCAAGATGGGGCTGCATCAACAAGTCCAATCTTGTTTCACTCAACAAGGCAAGCCACGGAACTTAGTGGTTTTGTTAGAAGATCTGCAAGTTGGTCCTGAGTGTTGACATGATGAACTTGTAAAGCTCCTTTTTGAACCATGTCACGCACAAAATGTAGGTCAATCTGTATGTGCTTCATGCGAGAGTGTTGGACGGGATTGAAGCTCAATTGTGTTGCTCCCAAGTTGTCACAAAGCAGCTTCGGTGTTGAGGATAGGGGGAACCCGAGTTCTTGAAATAATGCAAGTAGCCAAATTGTTTCTGAAGCTGCATTTGCAAGTGCCCGATATTCAGCCTCGGTAGATGATCTAGCAACTGCCCTTTGTTTTTTTGAGCTCCAAGAAATTGGGTTTGGGCCAAGAAAGCTTATGTAGGCAGAGGTTGAAGTTCTATCATCAAAGTTACCTGCCCAATCTGCATCCGTGTAGGTTGTAATAGTTGAAGTCTGATTTTGTTTGATGTAAATTCCATGAAAAATCGTGTGTTTCAAGTAACGTAGGAGCCTCTTGGTAGCTGTCCAATGAGTTACTGTGGGTTTATGCATGAACTGAGATAGTTTATTAACTACAAACGAGATATCTGGCCTTGTAAGAGATAAGTATTGAAGGGCACCTATGACACTCCGGAATTCAGAGCTATCCACTGAGCTTGTTCCATCAATAAGTTTGAGTGTCGTGGTGGTGGATAATGGGGTTGACACATCATTGGCACCCAACATATTGTGTTTAGACAGAACCTCTCTAATGTATTTATGCTGAGACAAGAAAAGACCAGATTTTGTAGGTATGACTTCCATTCCTAAAAAGAAATGGAGCTGTCCCATGTCTTTTAAAGAAAAACATTTGCCAAGTTTTTCAATTACAGAGGCCACGAAGTGATTGTCACTGTCGGTTATGACCAAGTCATCAACATACACTAGCAAAAAACATGTGACAGAGCCGGTTTGATAGATTAAAAGGGAAGAATCAGCCTTTGAATTGATAAACCCTAGGTCCAATATAGTATGCCGTAGAGCAGACTACCAAGCTATGGGTGCCTGTTTTAGTCCATAAATGGCCTTGCGTAGACGACATACATGATATGGTTTACTCACATCTTTAAACCCTGAAGGTTGTACCATGTAAACATCTTCAGTCAACTGTCCATGCAAAAATGCATTATTGACGTCGAGTTGTCTTAGAATCCACCCTCGTATGACAGCAACAGTCAAGACAGTTCTTATTGTTGCAGGTTTTACAACAGGATTAAATGTCTCCTTGTAGTCCAAACCCGGGCGTTGGTTGTACCCTTTGGCAACAAGTCTCTCTTTGAAGCGATCAATAGACCCATCCGATTTTC